TTTGAAATTTAATATTTAGGGCCGAGCAGCAAAAGCGCTGCGAATGCCTCTTGTTTATCCTCCGTTTATTATTTATTATTTCGTGCCCGCTTTGAATGGCTTTTTGGGGACCTTATCACACCCCAAAACTCACAATATTTTGCAGACTTATCGGGCCCGGTGAAAAATTTGATATTTTAAAGATTCCAAAAAAATTGCAAAGAAAATGGCGGAATAGCTCCACCACAATGTGAAAAATACCCCCCTCCATAAAGCTTAATTTATCGTACAGTTATGAAATTTTGTACACTTGTAGTACTCAACAGTCTACACAGAAAAGCCTCTTGCAACCATGGTCAACATCAAACAGGAAGTTGGCCAATTTGGTTTGAAGTGGCGATTTTGACCCCGTTATGGCCGTTTCTAGGGTCCGCTTCTGATTTATTTACTCGATCATTTTTCACACGATCGTCTCGAATTTTGTGGGAAATTGCTCAGAAGGGATGGGCGATCAAATAGAAAAAATAAAACTGACTTTTCATATATGCTGAAGGGGTGTGGCCAGGCTTCGAAGTTCGACTACTCGCCCAAAAAATATAAAAGGCTATAACTTCAAACTCGAATAAAGTAGGGTTACAAAAATTTCTGTGGTCATTCGTCATCCAACCACGAACTAAACTGAATGGTCGTATGATGACATCACACAAGCCCCAACCCCTCAGGACCAAAAAGTTCATGTTTTACTGTGATACATCCCAAATCGCCCCATTTCACTTAATCATCACAAATTTGTAGCTGGTACCTCAAGACAAGTGGGGGTTGCATGGCATCACTTTATGGGAGTGTTCAAAAGAGGGCGGGGCTGTGGCGGCGCAGCAAAGTCAGGCGTATCGCCGTGGCCATACGTATGCCTATTTCGTCATTTCTAAAGATATCACCATGAAACTGATCCTAGTCCGGCCCCCCAAAAACTGTGATGTGAAAATCCGGTGCTTTGACTGAGGATTACAAAATTTGGTACACTAATGTAGTGTCTCAGGACTGACACAAAAGTCTCTTGGAGCCAAGCGCAAAGTCGTACAGGAGGTCGGCCATTTTGGTCCAAGTACTCGATTTTGTGGTTTTCGCACACATTGTTTGGAGAATTATGCCCCATCGTCCTTTTCACCAATCACCTTCAAACTTCTGCTGTATACTCTTAAGATAAAGGGGAAAATTTTCAATCGTCAGATTTTAAATAAGTATTACGGTTTGGGCGTGGCTCAGCCTCAAACTTTGACCTGTTGCCATGCCACTCTTTATTTTCACAGCTCCCTATTGGACTCCTTTCACCTAATCACCAGCAATCTCTGGCAAATAGCAGTAGACAAGTTGGGGTCACTTGGTGTCCAGTGCTGGCAGGTTTCTAAAAAAGACGGGGCTTTGGGGGCATGGCAAATTTCGCCATCACGCCATGGAAATACGTTTGCCTCTCAATTCCTCAGTTATCATGATATCACCACAAAATTTCTGGTGAGTGATCCTAGTCTGACCCCCAATAGAAATGAATGTCATAGGTTGGTGGGCGTGGCCTTTTTTTTAAAAAAAAAAAGCGCCCCCTAGAACTATTAAAACTGTCAGCCCCACACGATGCTTTGTCTGACGATTTGGAAAATTGGTTTACTAATGTGGTGTCTCAGGACCTACAAAAAAGTCTCTTGGAGCCAAGCGTAACGTTGCACAGGAAGTCGGCCATTTTGGTCGAAGTATTCGATTTAGAGGTTTTCACACACGTCGTTTGGAGAGTGATGTCCCATCGCACTTTTTACCGATCACCTTCAAACTTCTGCTATATACTCTTAAGACATGGGGGGGACTCAACTGTCAGATTTTGAATAAGTTGAAAGGTGTGGGCGTGGCTAAGCCTCAGACATTGACCTTACATTAGTTGACGTAATAACTCCCAAGTGCATGATCAGATCTATATCAAACTTTGTCTGTGTGATCACTGACCACATTTCAAGACAACGACAATGTGGACTGCTGACATCACCTAAGCCCTGCCCCCTGACAACAGGAAGTCTATTGTTTTATGCTGAAATGCCCATATTTGTCCCCTCCAATTTAGTCAACATGACACTAAGGTCATGCACTGACTTCATGATGCTGTAATGACCATTCAGTTCTGATAGCTTTCCATAAAGGGAGGGGCTTTGATGCCATGGCGAATTCTGGCGTGACACCGTGACCTTACGTTTGACTGTAACTTCCACAAACAGCCTCCGATCTGCACGACACTGAATATGGCAATCAACAATCATACCCTTTAGCCAAAAAGGCACAAACGGTTGGTGAACGTTATGTAATGTAACCACAGCGTACCCTACATACCTTTAAAACTGTAATAACTCGTACAGACGAGGTCGCAACTGCACCAAACTTGCTACATGCACAAAGGCACCCAACACAATCCTGTGGTCACTGGTTGATATTGCTTTAGCTCCGCCCCCTGACAGATATTAGGCCCTGAGTAACACATGCATGATGCAATTCACACCAAACTACATGCAAATGATTGTTGTCAATCTACAAACTGCTCCATGGAATATTTTCCTAAATTTGGGACAGCGCCCCCTAGATACAATAAAACCTTTGTAACTTCTATAAAAACGCTCCAAACTATATCAAACATGGTGGGAGTCATCACACAAATGCAGTCTACACAAATATGTGCTCACTCGTTCAAATCAGGTTAAATCCGCCCACTTACAGCCTTTTGGCTCTAGATGACCCATGCAACATTTGATTGATGCCAAATTAACAGAAAACCATCTTTGATGACCAAAGATGACCTCTATGGGATTTAGTTGGTCACAGCGGCTCCTAGATAGGTTCAAACTTTATTAACTTCTAAAGACAAGGTTAGAATGGCATTATACTTGGCTTGTGTCATCACGTGGTTAAGCCAAACACATCGATGTGGTTGTTGGTTCAAATCCCTTTAGCTCCGCCCCATTTCAGCTCTCTGGCTCTAGAAAGCACACGCAACGTCTGATCGATGCAAAACTACCACAAAGCCATCTTTGACTCCCTAAGAGGACCTCAATAGGATTTTTATGTAATTGGTCACATCGCCCCTAGATAGGATTAAAAGTTAATTACTTCCAAATACAAGTTCAGAATGGAATTAAACTTGGCTTGTGTCATCACGTGACTGCACCAAACACATTGATGTGGTTGTTGGTTCAAACCCCTTTAGCTCCACCCACTTTTGGCTCTCTGGCTCAAGATAACACACACAATGTCTGATTGATGCCAAAATAGCAGAAAGCCATCTTTGCCAACCAAAGCTGACCTGAATGGGATTTTTCTGTAGTTGGTCACAGTGCCCCCTAGATAACTTTAACCTTCAATAACTTCAAAAATCGTGGCCAGAATATCATTAAACTTGGTCTGTGTCATCACACCACCAGTGTGGTAAAGATAGAGTACAGATTCAGTTTGATGCTGTTTTTTGAATAATCAACTCTCTATAGCAGACCACAATTTTTTTACACCCAGAATTCACAGTTTCTTTCATACACAAAGGTTCTGACATTCATCTACTTTACATTCCATCACCACACATACACTCCATCACACATCATTTTTCAAAGCTTGTCATGTACTATAATTAGTTTAGAAAATAAAGTTTATTTTTAACTATATACTTGACTCTGGCTGAATTAATACGAAGTGTGTTTATGGTCCCTGAATAAGCAAAGAATCCTGAATTCTTCTGATTAAACATTCAAAGATCAATCAGGTTGATATTTCATATTTACATGGAATCATCACATCTTATCGGTCATAATTAAATATGCAGTCGTTACGCTATAAAGTCTAACACTACAGTGTAAACCCAAAAATTCTTAGTTAATGAGGAATAGCTAGTTTCAGAACAAAAAGTAATTCCTTGACTAAAAGTTGTACATTTCATAACGTAGTTTGTATTAACACATTGAACACCATGTGTGTTCATTTAGTAAATTGGTTATACAGTAGTTTATGCTTTCCACACCTATGTGAAGCAGCTTGTTGTTTGTATTCCTGACTTGCCGAGGATCTCAGAAATTTTACAATATTTATCTAAAAAAAGTTATGAATAAGCTGAAGAGTCAGTAAAGGCAAGTATTGTTCTTGGACTTGTGCTGGCTAAAACCAAAGTTTTTTCTAAAAGGTAAGTAAAACAGTTTTTGTCTAATTTTCTTGTTCTTTCTAAGTTTCAGTGCATATCAAAAGTAAGCATTTTTCTCAAGTGGACTGAAAATACGAGACATTTTTTACAAATTGAGTAAACTTGAAATAATTTGCAATGCACTTAAATTTTTAAGTGTTTCAAAAAGTCTAAAAAAATTCACATTAGGAACAAAATGTAAGTAATAAAAAAGTTCTAATTGTGTGTGATTAACTTAAAACATCGTTTACTGAACTGAAAAGATCAACTAAGCTACATTCAAGTCTTTAACTCATATTACGTAAAAACACTATGTGAATTGGTTGCCTCAATTCAAGTAATTTCAATTTATCTGTGCTTTGAGGATTCTTAAAATGGTTATTTCAGTTAAGTCAAAAATTTCAGTTAAGCTCACTTAAGTTTTCATTGCACATTACTTAATTTTTTAAGGCAAACGGTTTGCTAGATTTTTTTTTGTAATCTCAATTAATCTGGCATTAGAGTGTATTGATTTAGAAAGGTAAAATATGTAGTGGGATAAATCTACCTACATTTTCCTTTTCAAGCTCTTAGTTTTGTTTTCTTGTTTTTTATTTCACTATTTTCCTGCGCCGTCATTCTCCCATCTTCCTGCACCTCCTCTCAATCCTCCAGAAAAAAACTGCTGCCTGGCTTTTTTACTTTACAACGCCATGAGTTACTTTTGAATTATGCAGATCAAAGTGACCTACCAACCGCAAAGACAGCGGAGCATGCACTGTGCGGCTATGCCATTGATGTGAATTCACTGGAAAAACAACATGTCAGTGACCTTTCATATTCTTACCATTAGCCTGCGTAGTAGAACTGGCTGTCAGGGAAACAGGATGCTGAATGGCAGCCCCTAAGCCCAGGTATCCACGGTAACCATAGCCAAGACCAGCTCCACTAATGTAGAGTTGTGTATCCTGAGAAGAGAAGGCTGATGCTGCCAGGGAGTAGGCGGATTGAGCGAGGGACACCGGCTCCCTTGGGGTACCCTCACCACTGGAGGTCTTTTCCAGAGAAATTTGCTCATCCTGGCAGAGGGACAAGCAAACAAACACATGTAATACAGCAGGTAGAAAGGATAACTGATACACATATAAGAGAGACAAAGGTCAAAGGACAAGATGTATCACACCATCATGGAGAACAACCATACACCACGTGTCAAGTTCAATATGTGATGTATAGAAAAATCCAACCCCACCCACCCTGTCACACTGGATCAAACATAAAGACACAAACCAGGTTCCAATATGATGCCAAATCAGAATATAAACATGAATGTACGTATATAAGAAATAAAAGAGACAGTCACACAAAATCCACAACAGGTATACTTTCAAAATAAGATATAAATGACAACCATACAACTTTTAAATCATTGACTGTTCCCCTCAAACAATTACTTATTCTCTCTAGATCACATGTGTCAGAGTCAAGGCCCGCGGGCCAGATGCGGCCTGCGGAGCATTTTTATGTGGCCCGCGAGAAAAATATCAAAAATATATTAAAACTGGCCCGCTGGCCGATTTTACCGCAAAGACTTCAACTAGTGTGGTAAATATAGAGCATCCCCTAGTGGTGAGATGCGTAATTTAATGGCAGGCTCAGAGGATATGCTGACTCAGGCTGAGGTGCGGATGAGGTGACTGTTCGCAGTGTCCGGGATCGCAGGGGTCAACGTTTCTGTGCAGTGGACGTGCTCAGGTGCCCCGGGTTGCCACACCAGGCTGGAGTGGCGCAGAGCTGTGAGGGCCAAATGACGCTGCTTGCAGCTTTAATTTCGTTTGTTTCTGCACCTTTTTGGTAGCCTAGTGAACTAGACCAAATTCTTGCTTTGCAAAGAATGGTCTAGGCATGCTCCATTGGAACCTCAGCAGCTCCTACCAGGACTCTGGCTGGCCAATCACAGCTCTCTAGAGGGGTTTAAAACACAAAGAGCTGTGATTGGTCCATAATGGTGGGCCAGTCATAGTGCTCCATCTGCTTAGTGAACAAATCACAGAGCTTTATCCGCTTTGTGGGCCAATCAGGGCACTCTATATGCCTGGTGGGTGGGATGATGCAACAGAGTGAAACAAGAGGATGTCACATTCATTGTCCAGTAGACAACGGTAGAACCCGCCCCACAGCCGAGAGCCGTCAACGGAGCATGGCCAGACTAAATAATACATTTATTTAGTCTGGCTTGCCAGGCTACCTTTTTGGTACACGTAGTTTACTACATCCATATCTTTCAGTTGACCTCCATTCACATATTCTCCATACATAGCACATATAGAGCACATATAGTCCTAGTTGTTTATTTTGTTTATTAGTTCTTTTCCATGAGACGCCATCTGTGAGGTTCTATGGCAAAAATGCCCTGTGTGTGTTTTTGATGCTTTACTGAGTTTCAACAGATGTTCTTGTTGCCTAGGAATGACATCTCTGACCATGTGCAGGCCTCTGCTTCCCTCCTGTTCTGGAGTTCTGGTTTGCTCTGGAGTTCTGGACTGTTCTCTGGGTGTTCCAGTCTTCTGGCTTCACTGTGGATCTCTGTGGTTCGCTATGGTCTGGTCTGCTTCTCCTCGTGGCTCTGGCTTACTTCTCATCGTGGTCCCTGTCTGCGGATTTTGCTAAGTGGGATTACAATTTGATGACAGGGATATATATTGACTGCTCTAGTGTGAGGGTTTGGTTTTTCTCACTCCTGCTGATTTTGGCGCCTCAGAACTAACTCTTTCTTCCTCTGCTGAGTCCTCAAGGCCTCTAAGGTTGTCCAGCGCCTCATGGTCTTCTGTCTGTGACCCTGTGCCTTGAGACAATATTCTTAACCCTTTAAGACTGCCATAGAACAATTCCATTTTTAGTTATTTTTTATAACACAGAAAATGTTTTTTTTACCTTGCTGACAGTTTCGTTTGCCGACTGCAAAACTTATGACCATATGATGAATTTATCGTAGCAACAGAACTAGCATGTCAACAGATCACAGATGAGGGAAAGAAAGCAGAACTCAGAAATAACGTAGTTGGGATATTAAAGAACAGCCAAATTCAACACAGCAATATTACAAAAGAACAATCAGCCATGACAGCTTTATCCAAACATGAACAGATAATTATTCTACCGGCAGACAAAGGAAGAACCACATTGGTAATGGACAAAGAAAAATGTAAACAACAGACGAAACAGATGCTAGAAGACAAAAATACATACAAAATACTTAACAAAGACCCAACAGAAAACATTAAGAAAAACATGAAAAAATTACTGAAGCCACTACAAGAAAAAGGCAAAATAACAGAAAAAATGTACAAACACTGGATTCCTACAGCAAACACAACACCACTTAGACCAGTAGTTGACAGCATAGGTACACCAACATACAACATGGCAAAAGATATCAGCAGAATCATCAGCCCGTTATTAGGAAATACAGACCAACACTGCAAAAATAGTATAGAATTGGCAAAAGAACTAAAGGAAATTACAATAGAAGACAACGACATACTCATCTCACATGACGTCACATCTCTGTTCACAACAACACCAACCCAAAAAACCATAGACATAGTAGTTAACAGAATCAGACAAGACAAAACTTTACACAAAAGGACAAACCTCACAGCAGACGACATAGCACAACTGATAGGACTGGTAGCTAACTCCACTTACTTCACATACGACAACACAATATACAAACAACTGGAAGGCTTCGCCATGGGTAACCCGTTATCAGCCACCCTGTGCCAGTTTTTCATGGAAGACCTGGAACAAAAAGCCATAGCCACCGCCCCCCCAAACTGCAAAATAAAACTATGGAAACGCTACGTAGACGACATACTGGAAATCATACCAACACGACAAACAGGAACACTAACACAACACTTAAACAATATTGACGACACAGGCAACATAAAATTCACTTATGAGTTAGAAACAGAAGGCAGCATAGCATTTATGGACATGAAAATCACCAGGCAGACCGACGGGACCCTAAACATAAACACATACAGGAAACCAACACACACAGACCAATATCTATTATGGACATCAGAACACCCCACCATACACAACATGTCAGTAATCAGAACATTATATTCAATTCAATTCAAGTTTATTTATAAAGCGCCAAATCACGACAAGAGTCGTCTCAAGGCACTTCACATAGTAAACATTCCAATTCACAGTTCATTAAGCCAATCAGAAATAATGTTTCCTATATAAGGAACCCAGCAAATTGCATCAAGTCACTGACGACTATACAGCAATCCTCATACTAAGCAAGCATGCAGCGACAGTGGAGAGGAAGACTCCCTTTTAACAGGAAGAAACCTCCAGAGAATCCTGGCTCAGTATAAGCAGCCATCCTCCACGACCCACTGGGGATGGAGAAGACAGAGCACACACACACACACACACACACACACACACACACACCGAGCAAACATGGTAACGGAAGAGAGAGACCGTAAACAAGAGGACAAACACATACAACACGCTTTAAAGACCTGCAGATACCCGACATGGGCAATAAACAAAGGAAAACAACAAACAACAACAGAAAGAAAAGAACAACCAAAGCAAAGAACCAGAAACCCAGAAAGACAAGAACCAGAACCAGTGATAACTCTACCATACATCAGAGGCATAACAGAAAAAATAAGAGCAACAATGAAAAAACACAACATAAACACACCAACAAAGCCATACACAACAGTTAGAAACAGACTAGTGCACCCAAAAGACAAAATATCAGCTGGACTTAAATGTGGAGTCGTTTACGAAATCCCATGCAAACTCTGCAATAAAACATACATAGGAGAACCCGGACGCCAACTCAACACACGAACAATAGAACATAGAAAGGAGTGCGAGAAAGAAACAAGTAGAAAACACACAAGAGCAGCAAAACAAGAAGCAGAAAGCACAATAAAGAAGTCAGCCGTAACAGATCACTGCACAAGAGAAAACCATGTAATGGACTGGGACAGCACACGGATCATAACCACCGAACAACATAAATACAAAAGATGGATAAAAGAAGCTATCGAGATAAGGAGACGTGGATGTGGGACCATGAACAGAGACGACGGAGTTTACACGCTGGATCATGCGTGGGACTGCATCGTCGGAGAGGGGAGAGCGGGCAGTAGAGGGCGACAACGTCCTCTGCTGCCCGCGGATAAACGGAGAAGGAAGTGACGCGCTACCATCAGCGTCAGCTCTGAGGAAGTTTTGCAGTCGGCAAACGAAACGTCAGCAAAGTAAAGAAAAACTTTTCTGTGTTAGAAAAAAGAACTAAAAATGGAATTAGAAACTGGACACAGTAAGAACGTACCGAAGATGCCCTAGAGCAAGTTCGCCACAACTTATATTTAAATTTTAATAATGTAAATGTAAAATTTTGATAGCAACTAAATATTTTACTAAAAAAAATGCTATTATCCATAAAGAAATAGAAAATCGTTTTTTTGTTTCTACACATAGTTTTCATTATACAGAAATGCCACAGCTTTATCCCTTTAAATTATCAGTGAAGAGAAGTTGCACACAAGCCTTTCAACCAGCAAATGTATTTGAAGTGCTTCTATAAAGTAGTTTCTGAGACACACGCATTTATATAAACTTTAACATAAAAGAAAACATAAATAATAATAATCTGCAGGAGTTTAACATAATAATATCGAATATTTGTAGCTAATATTTCAGTAGTATATAGTTTTCCTTTTCTTTCACTAATAATAACAATAATAAAGAATATTGCATGAATTTATACGTGAGGAAACTGAAACTGAAAATTAAACATCACCCGGCGCTGTAATGGCGTCAACCGCTTCGAGGAGGGAAGATGTACCGTTTGGCGGGTCCGAGATTCATCAAAACGTTCGTATTGGGGTGTGTGTGTGTGTGTGTGTGTGTGTGTGTGTGTGTGTGTGTGTGTGTGTGTGTGTGTGTGTGTGTGTGTGTGTGTGTGTGTGTGTGTGTGTGTGTTGGGAGTTTGTAGTGGGGTGTGAGTGTGTAGGATACGTTTGTCTAAACGTATTATTGAGAAAAAGCACAAGAAAAAGCCGAAAGACTGGGACTACAAAGAACTACAATTCGCGGGAAAATGACGTCAAAGCAGGTGATTGGGTGAGTGATAATCATGTGACAGTTCACGTTGACATTGTGATGACGTTTATTCTAGCGCGTGAAGCCCTGTGAGCTGCCGATCAGAACGACAGCGTCTGTGTCTGAATGAAAACGCTTTTCTAATTTGCGCATTTTGGTTGTTTTTTGCAAACTCATTAGCGGAAATACGCAGCTCTGGGCCCTGTTCAGTGTGTGAGATTTAGGTGCAACTCCTCCGGTTTAATATGCAAAAAAATGTTTGTTCTATCTGGCTCAGTTTCAGTTCTACAAGCAATTGAACACCGATATGCTAATGGGAGCGCCGGCTGTACAAGCCAAGCATCACAAGATCTCTCAGACCCTTAACAAGGTTTTGCTGCAAACATCGAGCTCTTTAGTACATGCTTTGGTTACTTCTCGGTTAGACTGCTGTAACTCCCTCTACTCCGGAGTTAGCAAGGCTGCTCTGGCTCGGCTCCAGGTTGTACAAAACACTGCTGCCAGATTCCTGACTGGCACAAGAAAGCACGAACAAATCACGGCAATTCTGACCCACCGGCACTGGCTTCCAGTATCTTTCTGTGTCTGTTTAAAGATACTTGTCTTTGTTTTTAAATCTCTGCAGGGTCGTGCCCTTACCTATCTCTCTGATCTACTTGTCCACGAGCACTTAAGGTTGGTTTATGCTTGACGCATCCGCGAGGTCCGCACGGCTCCGCGCGGAAACGTTGCGTCATTTTGCGTCATTTTAACAGCCACGCCCCTCCACCGCGCCTCCGCACAGCCCAGAATTTCCACAACGCGCACCTCGGAAAATTTCAAAACCACGACGGACGCGGAAAAACATGGCGGACCGGCAAGAACTAGTATGGCAGAGGTTGGTAAATACAGACATGTGTATGATTCAGCTCTCAGAGATCACCGTGATCAACATGTTGTTAATAATTCTTGGAGAGAAATAGCTCGCACTGTCGGAAAAGACGAGGACGCTGTTAAAAATGCTGAAACGCCATGTTGTAAACAGTAATTTCTACTTCTACTATGGTGTAGTGTTGGATGCATGCTGTAGAGCTCCATGCTGCCCCCTACAGTTTGGGAGAATATTGGCTCACCGCAGAGACGAGCCGCATGAACCATAAACGCTGCGAGTTGTGAAGCGCGTTCCATCCGCGAGCCGCATCACCGCGCGGAAAGTGAATGCGTCAAGCATAAACCAAGCTTTAGGTCTTCACAGCAAGACCTGCTAGTCGTCCCACATGTGAGATGCTCTACTAGAGGAGGTAGAGCTTCTTCTGTTGTGGCCCCTAAGCTGTGGAAAGATCTTCCACCTGTGGTCAGAAAATCTCCTTCAATGTCGGTTTTTAAGAGCCAGTTGAAGACTCACTTTTATTCAGTGGAGTTCCCACAGCACGTGAGTTAGTTTAACTTTTTGATATTTCTAATTAATTTCATAAACGATTATTCAGTTCTATTTTCCATTTTACTTTTTATTTTAATCAACATCTTTGATTTGATATCTCGTGTTATTTATGACTATGTATGCTTTTATGGCTGGCCATCCCTTGGGTCCGTACTGTTTTTGATGTCTGTTCATGTGTTCAGCACTTTGCGCTCACCTGCGGCGGAAGGAAAGTGCTTCATAAATAAAGGCTGATGATGACCTTCCTGACACCATAATCTTTGGTCTACAACAACAAATACACGTCTGGTTTCACTCTAACAGTGGCATTTGGAGTAACATGAACTACATCATGTAATACATAGCTTGAAAGCTCGTTTTATGTACTTTTAGAAACTAAGCCCTTTAATTATAACTAAGTTCTTTGTGGCACACTACAGAAAAAAACCATTTGTCTTTATCCCGATTAGAGTGATTGTAATTACCGTAGACTGCACAGAATTTCGGCATTTTAACGCCCGGTTAGTAATAATTTAAAAAAAAAATGTTGTGCAGAACCTTCTGATTTATATCTTAAGACACCCTATTTATAAAAGGATTTCTTCTTTTTCTTCATTTCAATAACAGAAGACAAATGAACATACACATCACTTTTAAGGACACACACACACACACACACACACACGCACACACACACACACACACACACACACACACACGCACGCACGCACACACACACACACACGCACGCACGCACGCACGCACGCACGCACACACACACACACACACACACACACACATACACACACACACACACACACACACACACACACACACATTTATTTACATGATAGACGTCGAGGCGCATCCTCTTTGCAGCGTTGCGTGACTCACTCTCACAAGCAGCAGCCAGGATGTTCTCAGCCATGGCTGAGGTCAGGTGTGGGGGTGTAGGACGGGTCTGTAGACAACAGAATATTAACAGACACACATTACTGTGGAGCCCATAGCACTTTAAATCACTAGACAACATGTTTTCTCACACAATTGTAAAAATTCTCTTGTATGTTTTGTTCGTGAAGGTTTTGTATTTGCAGAATGTTCTTACTGATGATAGCATGGGACCTTTCTATGAAATGTGAAAGCATGTATGCCTAATACTGTCTGCTCCAAGCACGAGCAGCTGGGGCTTCCTACGGGGAGCCCGCGCAGGCCAACCCCGCCTCGAGCCCCGACTCTGGCTAGACCATTCATTCCCACAGCACCTATGTGGACGCCGATATGCCACTCAACAGGAAACCCACCTAGTGGGGCGCATGATGCTGACCACAGCAGGCCTTCACCTATTCCCTTTAAGGGACGCTCCCCTCGAGGGCCACAAGGCCCTGCGTGCCCCTCAGACAGTGAGGAGGAGCAGAGGAATACATGGAAGAGCTATTAAACCCAGAAGGAGAGCCCCTAACCAGAATCTGGGGACTAGATACAACCAGAACCATCCTCCTTTCACGGGGCCATTGTGTCGCGGGCTCAGGCTGCTCACAGATGGGGATGATGACCCAGAGGAGGCCAGAGGACTTCCTGACTAATAACCTCTGGGGTTCATTGCCTCTTGGGGGGCATATCAGAGGCCCATTTCCAAATATGATCCCAAAAACTACTCACACCGCATGGCCAGTGAACCACACTGCAAAGAAATGGCTTGTGAATGTGTCATATGCAATGTGGACAGAGGATGTGCACGGATTAAAGGGACATTTTACCCCAGAGAGGTTGATACTCCAGGGAGGATGTGTCCATACGACACATTGTTTGGAGAATGGTGGAGTAAAAATTTAATTGAGGAGGTGTTAAAGTGCAGACCGGAAGAAAAAGCTACTTCTGCTGCTTTCTGGACGGCTAATATACTGGTGTTGTTAACCCCAGCTATAGTCCCTGTGACATGGGAAGAAGGTATGAAAAAAGGAGTGAATAAGACACCTCCTCTCCTGAAAATGGAAAGGCATGGAGCCTTAGTGGCACTAACCCTGGTTAGATCACAGGGACCTCACCTGAGCGAGCTGACCTCAACTAAGGCTTATTCAGAGTACCGTTGCAACGGAATGACCTGGGGTAATTTGTTCTGTATTTGATCATTTTTAACAATGTTGGAGAAATCTGAAGGCGGTGAGTCATTCTGGCAGATCGTAATTAACACCTGTCTCATGCAGGTGTTCTGACATTGTAAACCTCACAAGGGCTGCAACAACGAATCGATAAATTCGATGAAAATCGATTACTAAAAGCGTTGGCAACGAATTGCGTCATCGATTCGTTGTGTTGCACAACTCTTCCAAAAGCCCCCTCCCCTCCCGCCCGCCGTTTAGCGCAGACCGAAGAGCCGGCAGGTGTTTGGAAGAGGAACATGGCAGAAGCAGCGAGACCCAAAAAAAGTAAAAACTTCTAAAGTTTGGGAGCATTTTCAGTTAAATCAGGCGAAGACATTCGTTACCTGCAACGTTTGTAGGTCAGACTTAGCATGGCACGGGAGTACTACGGTGATGATGCAGCATCTTAAACGCAAGCATGTCAGAACCATCAGCGAGGAAGGAGAGAGCTCGGTGTCCGGGTAAGTAAAACCTTTTCAAAAGTGATTCACCCAAGCCCCGGATTATTACACAGGCTACACATGCCCTAAGCTCGCTAAAAACAAGTCTATAAAATTGTAAGCGCAACGCTATTAGATGGGGGGGGGGCTCGCGCTGCTGCGAACCGGTTCCGCCGTCACATTCCCGCAGAAACTGGTTGATCACACCGGGGCCAGACTACTAGCATGTGGTTTTACAACCACAATGTCCTCAGAAGCGAAAACGCTTTTAAAAGGGAGGGAGGAGTCCTAACTGTTGCTGCAGGCGTGTTGTGTGAGAGTGCAGTTATATACTGGTTCATATATTTTTGGGTTCAGTTGCTTTCATGTGGCCTAATGTGAGTCTATTTGGGATCATTGGAATGATCAGCAGCATCTCTTGATGTGACTTTATGGCAGTTGCCCAGGGCATCATCACAAGGAGGATGGCATTCATTTACTTTTGTTTTATTTGGTATTTTTTCAGTCAGTTTTGGAAATAGTGATCAATTTTGATTAATTCACAGCCTATGTTTAATTACATTTAAAATAAATGTCAACAGATGAGATCAAACAAAACAGATGAGAATTGCCCTTAAGCTGTTTAACTTGGACCAAGCATTTTAGGTCACAGATAGATGTAGCTTAGGGTCTCTGTCTATACACCTTATAAGACAATTTAGGTGATGGCATGTTGTTTTTCTGCTATTGAACTGTTTTCTAATAATGTTGTGTTTAATAAAGTGAAGGAAGGAGAGAAATAACGTTTCCCTAGCAGTTTTTAAAAATGTCCCCATGTAATCCGATTAATCGTGTCGAGACCCCATCCGATTAATCAATTATCCAAATAATCATTTGTTGCAGCCCTAAACCTCACACACAGAACATTGTGGATGAACATTGTTCCCATCTGAGCATTTTAGCATTATTATATTAGCACACTGACTGATTCCTCCTTGAACCGTCACCTGATCGTGGTGGAGGAGTTTGAGTGCCCTAATGATCCTAGGGGCTATGTTGTCTGGGGCACTTTGTGCCCCTGGTAGGGTCTCCCATGACAAATTGGTCTTAGGTGAAGGGTGAGACAACAAATGGTTCATAGGATCTTTCATGGATGAACTATCAAAGAGTAGGAGTACCCGGCCCGGAGGGTTACCGGGGTCCCACCCTGGAGCCAGGCCTGGGGTTGGGACCCGTGAGCGAGCTCCTGGTAGCCGGGCTTTTGCCCATGGGGCCCGGCCGGGCCCAGCCCTAACCGGATACATGGGCTAATCCAACTGTGGACCCACCACCCGCAGGAGGAACATGAAGGGTCCGGTGCAGTGTGGATCGGGTGGCAGACCGAGGCGGGAGCCTTGGCGGTCCGATCCCCGGACAAGGAAACTGGTTTTTGGGACATGGAACGTCACCTCGCTGGCGGGGAAGGAGCAGGAGCTTGTGGCAGAGGTTGAGCGGTACCGGCTAGATGTAGTCGGACTCACCTCGACACATAGCATTGGCTCTGGAACCCAAGTCCTTGAGAGGGGTTGGACACTCTCATTTGCTGGAGTTGCTCCGGGTGAGAGGCGGAGGGCTGGGGTTGGCTTTTTGTTAGCCCCGAGACTCTCTGCCTGTGTGTTGGGGTTTACCCCGGGGGACGAGAGGGTAGCTTCCTTGCGCCTTCGGGTCGGGGAACGGGTCCTGACTGTTGTTTGTGCTTATGGGCCAAATATCAGTTCAGAGTACCCACCCTTTTTGGAGTCCCTGGGACGAGTGCTAGATAGTGCTCCATCAGGGGACTCCATTGTCCTGCTGGGGGACTTCAATGCTCACGTGGGCAATGACAGCTTGACCTGGAGGGGTGTGATTGGGAGGAACGGCCCGCCTGATCTGAACTCGAGTGGTTTTGTTATTGGACTTCTGTGCAAGCTGCAGTTTGGCCATAACGAACACCATGTTCGAACATAAGGATGCCCATCGGTACACTTGGTACCAGGGCAGCCTAGGTCACAGGTCGATGATAGACTTTGTAGTCGTATCATCTGACCTGCGGCCGTATGTTTTGGACACCCGAGTGAAGAGAGGAGCGGAGCTGTCAGCTGATCACCACCTGGTGGTGAGTTGGACCAGATGGCAGGGGAAGATGCCACGTAGACCTGGCAGACCCAAACGCATAATGGTTTTCACATTGCCACTTTTAATAAGTGCCACTGTTTCTGAACATATGAGACGAACAGGTTTTGTGCCACCAGTGGGAAGAACAAAGAGAAATGACTCTGTCCATTCTGGATTAAATGCTCTATTTTCGCTGTCCACTTTCCGTTATTTAGAGGCTGCCATTTCTGCTTTTTCTACTTCTCTCCGTCTCACCCGCCTGAATCTTTCCTTATCGTCGCTCTCCTGTTCTTTGCCTGAATGTCTCCTCCTTTCCACCGCTCTCCGTCCGAATCTCTCATTTTCTCTGTTTGAATTTCTGCTCTTCGCTGCTCTCCTTCTCTCCGTCTGAAATGTTTATTTTTGCTACGTATCGGCTGTATTTTCTGGCAGGAATGCAACGTGTTTATTGGCTTGTTGGTGTCACGTGGTCTGGCTAAACTCGCGTACAATTGGCCTGTGGGTGTTCATGGATGCTAGAATGCTGCCGTAAAGAATGCAATAGCTGCACGGACCAGAAGCGGTTATAAAATTAGGCAAACTTTATTTTGGCATTAGGCTCGGGTCCGCACCAGACAGCATTTCGGTCCGGATCCGGACCCAGGTCCGCCTCTTAGTGACCTCTGACCTAGGCCAATGCAATAATTCACTTGCCTAAGATGTTGTTGTAGGCACGTTTTGTTGTAGCGAGGGTGGGCGGAGCTTTACTGAAACAGACCATTACATTTCTAGGTACAATTTTCAGGCTGTTGCAAAAAACTCATATTTGAGATAAATGACATCTCAGTAGTGCCACTGGTAATATTTTGTCATATATTGTGTCTTCTTTTGCTCTCAAAGACTTAAGCCGAGGGCACACAGAAAACAGATGTGCTGCGCCACGGCATCGCCGCCGTTTTGGGGTCACACAGAAATCGTGTCGCTGAGCACTTCTTGGAAAGTCGCGCGACAGTCACAACAACACTCGAGACTTGAGAAAAGGATGTGGAAAGGGACTTTTTATTTATACGTGATCAGATTTGCAGTCGTGTTTTGTGAGACTCTAATTCATTAAAAATGGGTAAGTTTGCTATTTATTAGAATATTTTAAAAGCAAAAGTACTTTAAAGTTATCAATACTGTAATCAAGTAGCGTTTATAAACTCGTCCATGTTTTGGAGGTTGGGTTTGTGCCGTAAAGCCGTTCCTTGTCGTAATGTCTGTAGTAAAGTACTCCACAACGTTGTAAACAGCCACATCATGGCACTTTAAATAGAACTGGCACCTATCTTCAGCACCTCCGTGCGGACCGGCGCTTCTGGGGTGTGGCGCTGCGCTTCTTGTGTAGCCACTCTCAGTAACTGGCTTCCTTTTAAAATGAAGGCGCGGGCGTGACCTGGTGCAGCGCATCTGTCTTCTGTGTGCCCCAGGCTCAAAAATAGCATGATATGCAACCTTTCTAACCATCCAAACTATGTCACATTTATAATTCTTCTTTTTCTGTTCGAGGCTCAACCGTTGCCTGTTAAGAACACCTCTGATTGCTGCTTCAAACCAAACATGTATTATCCACATGTAACAAACATAAAACTGTGGATTGAGGCAAATGAACATACAGGCTAGAAAGTAGATGAATGGTGTTGCTGTACCTCCATGCCATTCTTTTTCATTCGTCGGCAGGATTTGAGGTAGGTGCGGATGCGCTTGCGGGCACGTTCCTGGAATTCTGGAAATTGTCGGCTGCAGGACTCAATGATGGCTTGGATCTTTTCCTTGGGCTGTTTGGAAATCGGTACCATCCGATCCAAGTTCTCATCCACAAACAGACGCACAAACATCTGCACAAAAAGAAAAAATATTTAATTTTTAGCTTCAAAACATAATGTTGTAGGAGTCGGTAAATATAGTGCTTTAGGAGCTTAATATGTTTCCTCTTCTTATGACCAATGAGCTGTGATACTCTATCTAAATATAGAATACCACCTGCTTGGTCTTTGGATGTTTAATCAGAAGATTCTAGGATTCTCTGTTTATTCAGGGATTGTACACACTTCGTCTTGATTCAGGAAAGAGTCAGGTTCATGAAAGTAAGAATTTATTTTCCAAACAATTAAAACATGACAAGTTAACTAATATCTACTGTGATGGATGGATCTAGGTGGATGAAATGTGATGTATGGTGCCTATGTGTGAATATGATTTTATCAGAACTTTTGTATAGAGAACAGCTGAGTTCTGGGTGTAAAAAGGAAAGAATTTGGTTTGCGTTAAGCTACGAGGTTGATTCTTATCAAAAAGGCATCAGACGCTATCTGCGTGTCTACTTCACCCTTTGGAAGACCCTCTTCGTGGATCCAAAGGTCAGAGAGGTCGGATGACCTCTGGCACCGAGGTTGTAGAATACCGTAGCAACGACCCTTCAGTCCAGAGATGTTTTCCGGGTCACAACAAATGGATGGAACCGTTTGCGTCTCGGAGGACTCTTTAAGGAGTCAGAACAATATCAGCTCTGTTCTGCAGGAACTGTTTGCTGTGCCAGCAGTAGGCAGCTTTTAGCAGGGGTGTGGCAGCTTGCCAGAAATGCTCAGGGTTAAAGAGGTGTCGCTCCGGACGGTCGCTCCGGACGGCCGCTCCGGAGCGCTCTCTAGAACTGAAGGTTGAATGATGGAAAGCTGGAATGCGACCACTGAGTTACCAGAGTGATTCTGTTTTAATATTCTCATATTATGGTTTACTTGGCCAATCGGAGCGTGCCATGTTCAGGGATATTACCAAGAAAACCTCAGAAAACACGCCTTCTTGAGATACCGGATGCTCTGACTGGGGTAAAGAAATATCGATGAGTCATGAGTTTAACTTAACTTTAATTTGTCCTCGTGTCTGAGTGCGGCTGACGATTGCCTTGTCATATCAAAGATTACAATACATTGAATGGATTGATTCCAGTATCCTTCTGGCTTGTAGGAAGACAGAGTGTAAAATCCACCTTAGGGGATAGAATGAGGTCCGCACATGACCAGTGGCATTTACGTCAAAATGTAGGTGAAAGTTGACCATTTCAGGACATTACAATGTTAATAAAAAATCGGAAGGCTGCAGCACTCAGGTGAACCAGGATTTATTAGGTGTCAGTGAAACAAAGGAAAACTAATGCACTTGCAGCATTAGAGAAGGCCATATAAGTTAGTGGTTATTTGTCCACAGCCTGCCTCAGCGATGTCCGAGATGAGCAGACATTCAAGTGTCCAGCAGGTTTCTTCTGCCAGGAATATTTTGGTCTTCCATACTAAAACAATTCCCTGTTTACCTGCTCTAGCTGCACCATCTGGATGAGCAGACACAACAACCTCTCTCCTGCTTCGTTGCCTGCAGACTCTCAAGGCCGCCTGCAGAAGGACGAGACTCTTTTCCCTTTAAATAAAACGATTCTTATTTTGTCTCATAAATTATTTCTTAACTTTACAAATTATTGACAATCGTATTATATTTTATCTTAACTCATTAACTGCCAATGAAAACAAAAGTCGTCATTTAAAACCAACCGTTCACTGCCAATGACGGCTAAAGTCGTCATTTGCATTTTTTTTACTGTGTGGGCGTCGAAACGAGCCTCCGCACCGTCAGAACAAACACCCCAGCTCTCAAGCCGATCTTCATCCGCGCATGTCACGTGATCAGGAAGCAGAAAAGACAGCAACAGCTGAAGAAAAATTAAATGCCAAATCCCCCGGCAAAGAGTGTCACTGAGACTTTAAAACAAAAATTATTCTTGTGCAAATATCGGTGTATTCACCTCGATAACGATAAATGGACGATAAGTACAGGTATGTGCAGAAACAAAAGTTGTCCACTAGATGGGGCTGTCACGTGTATTACATTGCCACATTTTTACGTGACTCAAGGTGGTACAGCTTCTTAAAGGGACATCTATAATACTAGTTATTAAAATGCAGCAGTTGCTGGATTGGTGCAGTTTCAAGTGGAGAGCATCAAATAAAACAATATTAAAATAAAGGCAAGATGTGTCATAACCCCCCCCCCCACACCACCACCACCACCACCACCACCACAGCTGGAAAAATTCCTAGGGGAAACACTGTTCCGGTTAGAATTGGCAAAGCTCCTCGGATGAGAAGTGAAACGCCTTCAAGAAACTAAAGAAGTCCAGTTGCCTTCAGGTAAATCACATCAGGAAGAACTTTCCTATTGGACTAGAGCTCCCAAGTGGGAGGAGTCAGAGTCCAAGCAATTAGGGCATCAAATGAACATCAATCACAGAACCTGTGAACATTCTATTTTGTTTTATTTACAGGTTCTGTGATTCTGACCCTACTCGACACCAATTGCTTGGCTCACCTGAGTGCTTTCGATTCTCTTCTTCTCAGTGTCTGTCAGCTGTGCAGTACCAATTTGTGAGTGCAGGACGCGCAGAGCGCTCCATTCTTCATGTTGTAGAACATCAGTTGCAGCCGACAGTCTGCAACTTTTCTACATCGTGTGTTTGAATAGGAACATAAAAGTCAGGAGTTTTAAGGTACAAAGTCAACACTTTTGTTGGAAGGGAAGAGAGAGTTACCAGGTGTGTGAACAGGTTGGTGAGGAACGAGGAAAATGGGACCACTGAGATCATTGTCTGATCTCCGTTGTAAGTGAGGAGATCTGAATGGCCCACAATTAAACAACTGATGATGTCAAACAATCAGTTTATATAATAAATGTGTTTTACGATCAAGGAGGGTTGGCTCCTTACACATGAGACAGAATGGTGCAGAGTTACAAGGTTTATCTTACAGGACGCATTCCTCCTCCTTGAGAAATGTCCTGGGTCAACATAGGGACAGCAGCACGAGGACACACAAGAGGGCATCACTCAATGGCCTTACCATAGTTGGAAGTACACAGAGGTTTTCAAGGGAGCCTTGTGAGGGGATGGAAGGGGAGCTCTGCCCCCAAAGTGCCTTGAAATGACCCTGTATAAATATTACACGCTTATATAGGATTGCTTCAGAAAGGTAAAACGTGTAGTGGGACAAATCTACGTTTGACTTTTCAAATGTTTTTTATTTGGCTGTTTTCCTGTCCTGCCTGTCTCTGATCTTCCTGCATCTCCTCTCAGTCCTCCAGAGAAACTGCTTCCTGGCTTCTATCTTTTTGACCTGATGAGTTACTTTTGAACTAAGCAGATCAAAGGGATCGAACACCTCGAGAAAAAAAGTGTAGTGTGCGATGTGAACACACAACTGAAGTGAAATCACCAAAGCACAGGTGATGAGCTCCGCAGCAACAGCGGAGCGCGTCAGGCATGCATAAAAAGTACCAGAGAATACGAGCAGACACGAACAATTGTGTGTTCATTTTGTTTGAGCGGCATCACATTAGGAATGTTACTGTGGAAGTGCGCAGGACGTAGCTTCCTCTTTGTTCTCTCCACTCTAGAAGGTCCCGGTATGCTGAGAGCCCATCTAAACAATGTAACATAGGTTGAAACTGGATCTTTTTCAGGCTCCCCCTGGGTTGAGGGCTTCCAGGAGAGCCCGTCACCCTTGAGCTCCCCGTAATTCCAACCCTGTCTCTGACTTACATTGAAGGCCTTTAATCGCTCAGGATCAACACCCTCTGTGTCGTTGATCTTGTCGTTGTCATCATGATCATCGTGGTCATCGTCATCATCATCAGGAC